CACATGGGCACACTGGTGTGTGCCATGGAATGGAAGTGTATACAAGGCTTCCAAACTTCTATGACAGTATTTGCAAATGTTCATGTTGTTATTTTCTAAATGCATATGGTATCATGACGTGCAAGTATAAAACATGATTTTTTTTTTCCCCAATCTCCTAGTCCTCAAGAAGAAGAAAGGAAGGCTGTTACTGAACACATTGCTCTGTCTCTATCTAAGAGGGCTTTCACAAGTAACAGTTATGTACCGCACAGAACCAACCCTGGTGAAAAATGCTGGTTGTCCTCAGGCCAGAAACTGAAACTCAGATTGGATCTGAAAACTTGAGACTCTCTGAAATCTATTCCTTAATCCTCTTTGATTACAAGTTGATGAATTTAACTCACCATAAATGAGTTTATTAGAACCTTGTGCAAAGGTCTGGCTGCTGACATTATATGCATCTTCTAACAACTAGACCTATAATCTTATTCAGTCCTCCAGTTCCCTTACTATTTCATTGTCAGATAGGACTCCAAAAAGAGGGATGAAGACTAGGTCACATTGATCACCATGGATGGCCACATGAAGAAATTCACAACAGAGTAACTCTGATGCTAAAAAATGGCACAGAAAATGTCCTAAATGACTTTATTTTATTAACATAGCTGTCTTCCTCACACCTTAGCTCCATGTACAGGATGTAGTCTAGAGAGGAAAACTGGCAAACTGATAAAGTATTTCAAGACCCAGATTGGAGTTAGATGAGCAATTCAGAAATTTAGACAGTTGTATTACCCTTATGCAGTCTAATATAGTTATACAACTTCTGTTGCCCAAGTAATCCGTAATATTTTAAAAGGATTGTCACTGATGATATTCTGTTTTAATGGGTGGAACAACATGAAGAAAGCATGGAAATGACTTATCTTAGGTTACCCAGTTGCATATCATTTTTTAGCATCCAGGTTCACAGTTTGATTCACAACCATTAACCTCCTCTGAAGCTCCACATTTAAGAAAGCAACTTACCAGAAGCACTAACTCACCAGACATGACCCTCATTGAGCTGCACCTGACCAGTTATTTTAGCCTGAGACAAAATCAACTCAAAATTGTTCAGGTTTAAGAGTCTTGTATGACAGAACTATTGTCCTCACTCCTCCTGTAGTCCCATACATTCGGTTTTGCTGATAATGAACCAAAAGCAGACTCAGTTACTGTGTAACTCTGATTTATTTCCAGAGTATCACCTATTCTATGTACTGAAGGAAGGTGAGGATAAAAAAATGTACCTACGAAATTTAAAGTTACATTAAAATACATACACACCAGTAGATGCAACTGAGACACATCCTAACACCACATAAACCTGCTTTCTTGACTTTCAAATTTAATTTTTGACACTGTAAATAATTCTCTTTATAAAACAAAAGTTGATGATAACAGTGCACACAACTCAACCACCTTCCTTCCACTGCATCACTGCAAGGTGCTGCATTTTGGACTGTCAGCACTGTAGTGATCATCATCCATCACCTGAATTGAAGTATAAAAATACAAGTATAGAGAGATACAAGATAAATTCAACTGCTGTCTTCAGAACTCAGCATCTGTGGACCAGGCATAAAATGCCAAAGACTGCTAATTAACATCAGTGCTAGTGGCTTTCATCTACGTTAAAAACACATTTTACAAAGAGTAGCATCCTACCAGATACAGTCTGAGGAATCATACTTCTCCTGTATTTATCTACTTCCAAACACTATACTAGTGTACTGCATTATTTTGTTTTATTAAAACAGAAATTTATTTTCTAAAAAATAAAGGTCACAGAAATAATGCTAGTGGTCAGCAGTGCCAATACAAGTGGAATGCAGGTAATGCTTCTTGGTTCCCAGCACAGTCCCCACCTAGGTTGCCACTTTTCCCCAACCTGTCTGATAAGAAGCAACTGCAGCAGCAAGAGCATCCATTTTGCTTACATCCCAGTTATTTGTTAGTGCTGCATACTAAAATAGAGTTGCAGTGCAAAACCAAGAGCCAGTAATGATGAGAAATCAAATTACATTATATCGTGTAGCAATTCTGAGTTCAGCTGGAAGGTAGTGGCTGTCAACAGCTTTAGCTTAGATCAATCCAAACATTTCATGAAAGCAACAAAAGGCATCCTTACCATTCCAGGATGACATCCTAGATAAATTTTAGGTTGCGAAAAGTTGAAACTTTACAATGTTTTTGTAGTGCAAAGTGTTAGTGAACTAAATAGACATGTAAGCACCATTCTCCCACAGTTTCTATCATCTTCTGACTCTTAAAACTCCAAATTGTTCACTTTCATAATCTAGGAGGGAGTTGCAGGTCTGAATTCCAAACTCTCAGTGCAAGAAGGCCAGCAGTTCACAGAAAGGCTGAACTGTCATGGTATTCAGATCAAGACAGATGTTTTCTGTGATTTGGTTTATTCTTGTGATCAGCTAGGATCACAGGAATTGCAGAAGAATATACAGAAACCAACAGTATAGTTAAAAGTGTACTAGAAGGAGAGCACCTATGAAGGAAGTGGGAATTTTTGATCATGAGTTTTTCTTTCTTGCTTGTCATTTCACCTGCTTTTTTATGGCAGCAGATTATGCTCCTCAATTTTCAAGGTGTACATACACATCTATGTCTGACAATATATTTTCTTGTCCTCAGATAAATTGACACTGGTAAGATTCAGCTCCTTCTGAAGGTATTACAACCAGATATTAACTGCTTCTTGACAACACCCACTCCAACATCACAACACACTGTCACGGACTGTCGGTACATACTTGCTGAACCTTACAGTTTCAGCACACTGTTATGTAACTGACTGGATTTTGCCTTAGCTCCCCTTGCTGGGATTGCTCCCAACCATATCAATGTATCCACTGTCAAACTTGCAGCTGGATTTCCTAACTAGCTTGTTATTTCTTTACCTGTATTCTTAATCAGATGACTACAGCAAAAAAGTACTAATCTCTTGAAAAATGTTTCTTCTGTTGACAAGGCCATTCAACCAAGAAAAGTCGATCTCTATCAACTAGAACTGTAAGGGACTAATCTTGAGTGTTGCATGTTACAGAGAGAAACGATGGCACAAACCCAGCAGTTTCAAGGAGAGGTGAAGGGTGATGTCTGTCGGAGACCAGATCAACTGTGCAGACCAGCTCTTGGAACCTGCCTTGCAGAAGATTCATTTGCCATGCTGTTGACTTGATGAAGGCTCTGATTAATGTAATAAACCGTGTTACACTGAAAACGGATTTTCCTCTGTTTATTTTCCATCCCAGGCCTTGTAAAAAGAGCAGGCTTTTGGTGGGGATTCAGGTAAGACTGAAGTCAAATCCTGACAGACAAGTTTACCCATATTTAACTTTCTATCATCTTTCTTACATCTTAAAGATGTAGAGTGGCTAGAAGTCTTTTAATGCTTCTAAAAATAGAACTCCCACATCCTCCTCTTGAAAAACCTTTAAAATAGTTACTCTCTATATTTCATGTACTTATCCTAAACCCCTTCCCCTCCTTAATTGTCCTCAAAGACAATAAAAGAAAAAAAAACTTTAAACTTGAATTCCTTTGACATTACAACTGGAGTAGGCAGCTAAAATAAGAAAAAGTGAAATATATATACAATATAAAAATTAAAATAATATTGTGTTTGAAAAAAATCTACCTAACCAGCTGTTCAAAACAATAAAAGCAGAAATAAAATAATTCATCAGTTCTGCCAACTCCTGAGGATTTTGTGACTGGCAACAGTTATTTTCTACTTCACTCGCAAATATCTTTTCATTCATGTATTAAAAATTATGCCTCAGTTTTTGAGTTGATGAAGGAAATAACATTTTCATGCCAGGTTGAGGGTTTCTTTACGTAGGTATCAATACTGCAGATAGCAGTTTCTCCTTCTGTGACTGTCGGAAAAGGGAGATCATACAAATAACATTGTGACTTACATACAGTGTAAACAAAAACTGCTGATATCCTGCCATTTTTGTACAATCACCATTTGGATTAAAAAAAATAAATAAAATCTTTCTTTTTTTTTTTTTTTCCAGCTAAAATATGCTTCTTTTGTCTATGTATCTCAGAGAAGAAGGAAAAAGACATTTGTCTCTACCTGGATTTCAGCATCTGAATTTTACAGAACATCCTATCATGATGATCTCCCCACATTACAATTCTAGAAATCTGGGTTGTTTCTTTCACATCATAAGATCAAGTCTGTGAAGTGGAAATCTCTGTTCTTCCTAAAGTACCATTTCAGTTCTAGAGTTGCTGCTACTTTTTGATCCTGCTGCACAGCCACAGTTCGCCCGTGTGGAGAAAAACAACCACTTTAGTGAAGAGGAGATGAATCTTGGATTACAACTGTTAGATAGGCCTTGCACTAAGACCTGCAATTTTTTCCATTACAGTATTCTGTACTGTTAATGTCCAAAGTGTTAACTGGGTATTTAGTTTCATATATGACAAAACTTAATAGAAGCGACACACGGCCTAAATCCTTGGCTTGTTTTTTTAGGCATTTGGGTTAAGATCTTCAATGTGCAATGCTCAGTGGGATATTCTTAACTACGTAGGTCTAATTCCCACTGAAACCTAAACGTCTTCAAAATCTGGCCTGTGACTTTACTACAGAGCTAAACACAACCAACAACATTCTTAAAGTTTCAATGCGTGTATATGATCACAAAAAATTATTTAAAAATTATATTCAAGCATTTTCAGTCTGCATTCATAACCTGACATAATTTCTTATCCTTGGAATTTTGAAATGAGTTGTGATGTACTATTTCATAAATCAAATACTTGTCAATCAGAGAGATCCCTTCCTTTCCACCTATTCACTTTTGTTAAAAATAAACTCTCAAGTATTGCACCATATAGTAAGACATAGTTTAGAACAGGACCTTTTCTCCAGACTCGTAAACAGTATTATGGAGGATTTTCTGTCCTAAAATTCCTGTAATCATATTGTTTCTGAATACCTGAAAAAAACCCGGTGGTACAGGACCTACTGGCATGCCATCTCCTGGGGGAATGTTTCCTAGCACTGGACTGGGAGCTGCTGCAGCACTCTGAAAAGAACAAAGGGAGAATAAACCTTTGTCATTGCATGGTAGGCATTAAACCCCCCAAAAAAAAACAAACCAAAAAAGCCCGCAGAACCTGACCAAAATGCAGAAAGTAATTCTCTGGATATGTCATAATGTCATTGTTTTAGCTGAAGGTAAATTAAAATTGTATAGTGTTCAGTCTTCATTTATACAAGTATAATGATTTTTTTAAATAACAAATGTATGTTGAAGGGAAGGATGCTAGAGATTGCACATATATACAAATGCTTGTCAGTTAGATATCTCTACTAGGTTTTAAAAAATACTGTATCTGAGTGTGTCTATATATACACAAATGTGAATGTAACTCGTACACTTTTTCTTGTATTAGGTGTATAAACATCCTCACACATGCACAAGGATATACATATAGCATAAAGAAAGTAATTTATACATTTTATCAGCAATTTCCAAGCACTTTAAAGATAATTTCAGCAGACACTAATATACTTCCAGAACTACATCAAGCTTCAAAACAGGAGTCTGTTACAAACAGTACAACGAATGCTCACGATTCTGATGGCAATGCTTATGACTTTCCCAACCCCAAAAATAACCACCATGACAAATTAGAAGAATTCAGGTTACATTTTCAGAGGAGTAAAAAGATGGATTTTTAAGATGTGAATCAGAGGATGAAATTAGTTACCTTTGCAAATCCTTCAGTTTGAATAAGCAAGTAAAGAATATTGCTTCTGGCAATTTACAAGCAAGAGATTGTCACAAAAGGGGAAGCCAAACTGTTATACTTGTCATGTATTGGAACCTGAATTACTTTTAATTTCTAGCAGTCTTCCTTCCTGCAATATGTTTCTGTAGGGCATAAGGCTGAATCACCCATAAAGGCTTACAGTGTTCTGTGAAAGTACTCATGCACACACAATACACTGAGAGCCACTTGCAGCTTACTAATGACCTGCCAACATCTGCTCCACAGAATATGAATGCCTCACATTTATTAACTTATCACTGTATTGTATGCTCACACTTGATATCCAAAAGATACAGATCTGGAAATTGTATTTCCAGGTGTTTGGCACACTATCTAGGAAATTAAAGAATAATGCTGGAAAGATTTGAAAACTGGCACAAAGAAGGGCTGACCTTTTTAAAAGAAGCAGAAAGGAAATAGTTAATTACCACAGACTTTTCAATGGCTTAAACCGTGCTTTGAAATAAAATTTCTGAACAACTAGCAGTAGCATATTTAGCGCCTAAGCTGTATGTTCTTTCCAAACAAAAGTCTAGAACATATCATTAAAATACAAAGACTGCAGAGCATGCTGGCTTCAGAACTGAGTGCAAGACTTTGATTCACTAGAAAAACCTGTAATAAAGGGTCTTGTTTATGCAAGGATCTGTTCTGCGGGATCAGTGTTAGAATACTACATAATTGCAATTGACAGAGAAAGACAGTCAGGTGAGTTGGATGTAGCAAGTACTTTTGAATCATAATACCTTCTCAGGAGCAGCTACCACAAACCAACCCAACCAGCCTTTAAAGCTGTAGCAAGTACAGACAGTTCTCCACTAGCCACTGCCGCTCTCTGGATGCTGCCTGAAGTTCATGAGCCTGGAGTATGATGCTGCTTAGAAGCATGCAAAATCTTGTGACTCCCTGGAACATCTCAGGTACTTCTCTCAGGTCTGTTGCAGACTCTTGGTCTCCCAGATAGAGGGGGAAAAAAACAAGTGGTGTGAACACACAGAAATAACTCCTGAAGAACAACATAATTTTGTTGCCCTTTCTTTCTTTTGCACAGCTTTTGTGAGTGTCCACTAATTGCTTTCAGATTATCTGAATTTCCAAAGGAAAACAGATGATAAGGTTTTCACCTTTTTTTTTTAAGCAAAAGAATGACATGTTTAAACTAAGCATTGTGTAACAATGTCCAGTAAAATCATGAATAGGTGCAGATATAGTTTGAGTGAAGTCTGCTGGATCTTACTTCCATATGTACAGATGAGGAATGAGAACAGCAGCATCACTGATGGAGAAAATCAGTGATTTTAAAAGCCTGAGCACCTTAAAATGTCCAAAATAGCCTACACTGCAGTCTCTGACTAAGAAGGAGTAACCCATTAAAGGGGCACTAATAATGATAAACCTTATTACACTATCATCCCTCCTTGCATACTAATTCCTGATTACCCCTGTGCTACCTTAGCTGTGTCCATCTTTACCAGCCATGTAATATGAACTGTAAAATGTCAAGTGGAGCCAACGCTACAGAATGAAGCATCTGAACAAACTACAATAAATCACTGGACAAACACATCTCAACAGTATGAAGTCAAATAGGCAAAACACTATCAAGTTGCAAGATTGTGGAAAAAGAGCTAAGCAGCACCTCCTCTGATACACAATCAGTTTTCAGAAGTTTCCCATCCCAGGCTCCCTCACTCCTGCTCACATTATTTAAACTAGACTATACTAGGCATTAACGCATGTCTGAGTGCCTTAATGCACTCAATGGGTCATAGACATCTTCATCAACATCGGCTTCTGACAGAGCCCCCAGGTTACAAAAGATGCTTGTAAAAAGGAGGGAATGACTTCTGTGGATACAGTGCTTCAGCAGGGATATAGGGATCTGCCCCTGCTGAGTTCATGGTATTTCCCACATTTTAAAAATCACTTTTAAAAAGAAAAATGGTAAAATATACTTAACAGTTTAAGAAAAGGTAGAAAAGGATTCAGATTATATGCTAGCCATTAAACTTCTTAACAAGGCTTTATAAGAAATATGCCTAAAGATAACATTTACATAATTGTCTCAATAGTGTGTTTAAAAAACACCATTTCTTTTCCCCTCTGTTTTTGAATCTGACTTAGCAATGGTACCAGAGAAAGCCAGCTTTGTTCCTTGGTGAACCTCAGAAATCAGCACACAACTCCCCAGGACTGGTGAAACAGGCACAGGGCAATTCTTTGTCTTCTGAGCTACAGACATAGCAATGAATGACCATAAGTCTATCTCACACATGTAAGGAAACACTGCTTTCAGAGGTGCTGCCAATTCCTGTGAAGGGGATATCGCTCCAAAATAACCACTTTTTAGGAGTGGGTTTTGTGGAACTTCACTGGTGGAGAAGAAATGTAGAAAGGAGCTGGATTAAGCCAACACAAGAGACTGGAGAGCCTCCTCCGAAAGTCCGTTCTGGAGAGCTGCCCTGAGGGTGGCCAAAATATCTGATCGGTGCCATCAGATGTGTATCAGACGAACCATCTGTGATGATGAAGGAGAAAGAAAAGCAAGCTCTTGTGGAGGTGATTACACATCAAGTGATCCACACCAATTTACTCAGTCTTGGTTTTCGTGTTTTCCAGAGAAAAAGGTCTCAACTAGAAGGGAACTAGCTCTTTGCTTCAGGCTAGTTACTCAAAATTAAATTAATTTCCTAATGTTGGCCATTTTTTGATTGTGGACCATGATGTTTTGGGGAAGTATTCGAAGTGTTTATTTTAATTGGCCTAATTATTTGAGACTTAATTACACCATGTATTTGGCAGACACTTGTGCAAAACCACCTCTCCTCTGTATTTCTGAGTGGGAAGGTGGACAGAATGATGTGAAGTTTGAGTGGTCATAATAGTAGGTCAGTTTTACTGACATTTGAAGTACCACTTAATAATTGTAAGAATACTGTAGTTATAGGCATTCTATACTAGTCCAGTCTTAGGTGTTACAGAAACATCAATTTCTATCCTTTACTATGTAAGGTACTGGGGTTTTTTCTGTTTTCATGTTTGTTTGGGATTTTCTTCCTTGATGGGCAATGAAGTCCCCAAACCAGAAATAAAGCATTTTCAGTGTTTTAGGTATATCACATTTTCTAGCTTCTACTATCCAATGGTTTTAAGAACTTATACCAGGTCCATCAGTAAACAAATCTGCAACTGCTGCATTGAAATATTCTTATTTATTCTATGCTGATGAATAATTAAGTTATTTTTTCACAGTCCCACAGCAAACCATGACTTCTTTTTGCATGTATTACAACTTGTTAATCATTTATACTTCCATTGGTTTGACATTTTTACTATTTGCAATTTGCTTTCCCTGCTTTTCATAAAGAGATGAAATAAGAAAATTTAAATTGTATTATCTTTTTATATAGTATCTTACCTCCTTAAAAATGGAAAACTGTATTTCCTTTTGTAGCTAAAATACTGAATTTATGGTATATCTTTACAGTTATTGATTGAAATGGTGTACTTCAATGAAACATCCTTTGCTCTACCCAAGCTACTCTCAACAATGTAAAAATAGATTATTATATTAAAAAAAATGAAACTAGCCATGGTTTAGGCTGGTTTTACAACAAAGAAATCACAAAGTAAATGAAAAATAAGGAAGGTTAGTTATTCCATTAGTACAGTATCTGAAATATAAAAATCTGCAACACATAGGGCATTTTCTGAGGTTATCACAAGAAGTGGTTTATGACAGAAGCTCACAGAAGAATTCCATTTGCAATTAAAGAATTTTACAAAGAAAAGACTTGATTTTATCATAAAAATCCTCATCTGGCTCCTTCACTAGTCTGGGCATTTAATTTCAGGTATTTTGTTTAGAGTAAGGCATCCTTACTTTTATCCAGTTTATCACCTGTTACTCATTTTTTTCTACAAAAAGGAGATTTCTAATTTTTTAGAAGTCTATTTGATGATGAATGATGAAATCTACTTGATGAAGGATAAGACAAGTTAGACCTCATATGTAAGAGATCTATGGCCATTCTTGTCCATTCAATTCCCTCATCATCCAAGCCTCCTCCATAAACCTCCTCTACATCAGCCCTAAACCTGCTGAGTTTGCTGGACAGTCCTAGCTCCTGCTGAATTACTAGAGGTGGTGGGTACCCACTTCTTCAGCTCTGTCAAGGATCAAGTCAATCCCTCCTGCTGCCAGCTTATTTGGAGGCAGTGTCCCTGCGTTCTGTCTTCTGTGGAAAAG